GCATACAGCGCGTCGAACTCCGCGATGCCAGCAGCGTTCACCTCCGCGTCGTGCGGCTTCTCGAACTCGCCGCGACCCTGGGACTGCGACTTCGGTGGGCTGAATCCACCTGTCCCAGGGCCGGGCTCCGCCGCGGCGGCGTACCTGGAGTCGGCCTCGCCGCCGAGCTCCGCCGCCAGATCAGCCATCAGCTGGTTCAGGTCGTCCTGGACGCCGAAGGCCTCGTTCGCCGACACGAAGACCTCCTCCACGAAGGCGTCGTGGAGCTCGGCTAGGTCGCGGGCGCGGGCGGCCGCAGCGCCCTGGGGGCCACCGAGCTGCGGCCCGCCGCTCCCGCCGTCGGCGGCCTCCAGCTCCGCGTCGATGCCGTCGGTCTGCGCGTGCTGGCAACCCTCGCCGAGAAGCGCCTCCTGCATGGGGGCGGCGTAGGCGATGAGGTCCGCCAGCAGCTGGTTGGCGTCGTGCGGCGTGTGGGGCACGCCGCCGCCGGGCGCGCCAGCGCCGATGGGGCCGAGGGGGACGAAGGGAGGCGCATCCGCCCTCAGCGCGCCATCGGCCGCCGCGCGCCGCTCCAGCCGGGGTCCCCGCTGCGCAGAACGTAGCTCCGCCGCGCTGGCCGCCACGATGTCCATGCCCTGCGCCTCGGCATGGAGGGCGACGTTGCGGCGCAGGCGCTCGAGCCAGGATGGGGTCCACCCTCCCAGCGTGGCCTGCAGCGCGGGAGCATCGCCTGCAGCCTATGGGCCACCTCGTCATCCCCGATGACCGCGCCCAAGGCCTGCTCCGCGGCCTCCAGACGGGCCCGAGTCCTCCCCAACTCGCCCGTCAGCCGCCGCACGGCGTTGTCGGCGGACCACTTAGCCCACTGCCGTCCCGCAGCACGCTGGGCCGCCGAACGCATTGGCGCGCACTCCGCGCCATCCCGCGCCATCCTGGGTCCCACGCGCCCGAAAGCGGGCGGGCCTGGCCTTGAGCCAAAATGGCTACGGATGGTGGGGGCATTGAATAAGGAACCCTCAGATAAGGAATCCAGGGTCTGGAGGCCGGTGGAACTCCAATCGTGGATCGGCCATGGATATCACCGCCGCCCTCGTTGGATAAGGAATCCTCCAGGGTCTGGCGCATCCTGGGCGCAGTCCTTAACCAACGCCTCCTCCGAATGCTTGGGTGGTGCCGACAGCTGACCCGAGCCGTGCTTCCGCAGCCCGCGAGCCTGCGGACGCCCCGCGGGGATGCCGACGCTGGGCTCTCCCTGCGCTCGTACGTACATGGGGCCCAAGGGGGGACACAGCCACTTGGGCGATTTCGGAAACCTTGAACACCAGAAACGTTTTCGTGTCTTGGGGCGCAATGTTCACTTCCCGCCACCTTCCGCCGCCCTGCAGCCGGCTTCCGCCCGCCGGCGGAGGCGGCCTCGTTTTACTTCCGCCGCCCTTCCGCCGCCTTCCACCGAAGGAGAGATGACAACTCCTTCTATTCGCGAAGGCAAGGCCCTTTTTGGAACGCCCCGCGTCGACACAAACTCCAGGATTTCCTATACTTTTTCATCTGTCCTGGAAGGACTTCTACCCCTCCGTTCCCCATACTCGGTGGCAACTCATCGGAGCCTCCCATACCATCTCGCTGGCTCTTGCGAACCGACGCTCGTCGACGCCAGATCGGCGTTGAGCTAAATCGGCGCTGCATCATCGACTACCAGACGCGAATCGACGGCAGCGTACTCTGAAAACGGAACTGCGAGGGGACACGAGGCCCCCACGTTCGGCGACCGAACCCGTGAGCGTGCTCGTACGCTTCTGCTCCCGCCGGCCTCCGCCGCACCTCCGCCGGCCGATGGGCGGGAGATCGGCCCCTCGACTCCTCGAGGAGGGGCGGCCTTCCTGCGGCGCCCCGCCTGGAAATGTCGCGCCGAGCCTACCGTCGAGGTGCTACCAGAAGGAACGCCAAAATCAGGAACGAGGCCCCTTGTTGGCCCCAGAGGCGCCTAGGTGTACGAGGAAATCCGCGCGGACCTCGTTCAGAAGACGAGTGAAGAAACATGAAGTAGGACGGCGTTGAAATCAGAATAGGCTTCTGTGCACGAGGAGTGACAGAGGAACAGCGATGCAAGAGCTTTCAAGGAACAGCGAACCCCTTCCGAACCCGACCTGGTCCTCATTTCAGCCCAATGGCTGCACAATGGCACGCCAGAAACGGGTGCGGTGCCCAGGGGCAAACGTGGTCCAAAACCAGGGGCGCCCGCGGTTGGGCAGGCAACGTGTTAACCTCAAACAAGTAAAGTCCGCGAAAACGCCGACAGCGAGCCCTCTTCCAAAAAGGGCAGGAACTGCTGTCGGTCTTCGTCCCCATTCTTCCCGTACCTTCTTCGATCGTACAGACCACAGGGCACCCTGGCCGCCTCCCCGCAGTGGCTCCCGTCTGCGCAGTCCCCCAGCCAGACGCGCCGCGCCGCCCGAGGCTGCCAGGAACGGGCGGGAGAGAAGGAGGCCTGCAAGACGAGCGGGTGATGGGGAGGCGACTGTCGAGCGACGTCAGCTGACCACCTCACCGATCAAACTGGGGGGTCCCATAACGGTGCAGTGATGGACCGTGCGGCGGTGATAGACCGCGCGGTGACCTCGAAATCCCCGAAGACCTCACCACACGGTCCGTCACCGCACTTTTTTGGGACCCTGGAGGCACCAATCGCTTGAGATCTACGGAGAGCGACCCGAGTCCGAAAACCGCGCGGTCACCCCGAAACCCAACGACTCACCGCACGGTGTGGTCACCGCACCGCTTGGGGGTCCCGACCCAAGGCCACTCCGATCCTGGGCCCGGGGTGGGCCTGGCCATGTTCGGTGGGGTGGTCAGCCGACGTCAGCCGAAGCTGGCAGCGAAGAGCTCGGCGGCGACGATGGGGGCGAATAGCCCAGGGGGGAGCAAGTCGTGTATCCAGGAGCGCCAATGGTCTATGCCTTCGGCGAAGCTGCCGTGCGAATGCGTGAAACGCCCGCCCCTGGGCTATTCGTCCCCGTCGTCGCCTCCGAAGGGCGGCGGGAACGCCGCTGTCGTGATATGGCGGAAGGGCATCGGGAAGGACTCAGGGCGTGACCGCGGACGCGCAGTGGTACTGGTGCCAGGGCGTGCGGAGGGAGGCAGAATGCCCTGGGCGCGTGCGCCTCCCCTGTCCACTGCTCGCGCCGGTAGGGATCGGCAACAGCCGTCTGCATATCCAAACAGGTAGATGCCGAGTTCCCACGAGGGCAACACGTGAGGAGAGCCATGCGTCAGGAGGTTCCTCACCACCGACCTGTCTCAGTAGCAACGGGGTGGAGGACGATGGAATGCCTCCCCCTGCACGCTGCGGAGGTGAGAAGAGGCAGGCGGACGTAAAACGGCAAGGGAGACGCTGTGGGTGGAGTAATGGTTCAGCGCGCCAAAAAGAAGAGGCAGAGAGAGAGAGAGAGAACAAAAACGTCGAAGTCCGCGGACGCCAGGGTGTGAGAGACGGTCAGGCGCCGATCAGAACAAGCGGTGGGCTGGACCAGAAGCTGATACAGGCACGAAGCGGACGAGTCAAAGGCGAGAAGAAAAGACAAAGACAGAACCCGACCAGACCGTGTAGGTCGGCGAGGGAGTGCTGGAGGAATACAGGCAGTTGCACGAGCAGCGGAACCACCAGCGCGAGGGGGAAGGCCATGTAGAAGCCGGCGAACACCAGTATGTTTGAGGACAAAGGATGGCGCCAATATGTGGCTCCAAAGATGAGCCAGACTTGGAAAGGAAGCCCTTAGTGCCACATGGCTGGAAGTCCAGGTGCGCACCGTGGAAACAGAAGACTCCAGCAAAACTTCGGCTGAGAGAAGCTGGCCTTGTCAAGGAACACGCCAGAACAATAACAAGCAACAAGCAACACACATAACAACACAACACGTCAAACAACAACACCAACAATAACAAGCCAGCAAACAACTTGTCGAAAAGCAGGCGCGAGCAGGATGAAAGCGGGGCTGAAAGTCCCACCAGCCCTCCGGGCGTGGGTGATCTAACGATGTGGTTCTCTTCTTTTCCCAAATCGTTCTTCCCTTCGGGGAGGGCCCCCATCCCCTCCCAGAGGATTTGTTTGGGGCCGCGAAGGGTTCGAACGTCTAAGACGGCTTCGACGAAACAGGTACTGAGGTACTTTATTTTCAAATTTGCATATGTCTCATCAGCTCCGCCACCGTTTTCACGAGCTGGCCCACACACGTTTGCAGTCTAGAGAAGTAGGCAGAAGGCACAGGCCCACGATTATATACGCCTGATCCCTGAAAAACCAAGAGGTCCTGGAAACGGTGAAGAGAGAGAGGCACTGGGAGGAAGATTTTAGCAAGAACAGTGACAAGACAAATGCGCGTTTCCAATCGGAGCCTCAATCCCGCGCCCATTCCGCAGTAGCACCAGGTACCTCATTTTAAGATCGTCGTATGTCTCATCAACTCCGCCACCGTATTCACGAGCTGGCCCACTCTCTCACACACACACGCACGCACGCACGCACGCACACACGCACACACGCACGCACGCACGCACGCACGCACGCACGCACGCACGCACGCACGCACGCACGCACGCACGCACGCACACGCACACACACACACACACACACACACACACACACACACTTGCAGTCCAGCGACTAGGCAGAGGGTAAAACCGCGGCGGAGTTGAGAAACGCTGAAGCGTGCCAAAACAAGCTCACGACTGGATTCTCCACTGCCAACGGTATTCTCAGGCGATGAAGCAGCCGAAACAGCTTCAGCATTCTGAGCACCGCGCGGACGTCGTTATCTGAAAAAAGCATGGCGGGCGACGGGACCCCCTGCGGCTCGGCCAAAGATCACATCGCGTGAGGTCGACGGAGGAGGACGCGCTAAGGTCCCAGAGTCGAGCGCGGATGCCATAGCGCCCTGCAGCCCTGCCCACCCCTCCGGTGCCCCCGTGCAGGTCCGATCGGTACGGCGTCGAATCGGACGCACTGACTTCGGGGCGACGGGCGGCGCGATGACCGAGAGCTCTATCCGGCCGCGCCAAAGGTCCTCGAGACGGCATTCGCACGTCTTCGCGTGTGTCGACATGGACTCGCGCAATTCGTCGACGCTCTCTACGTTCTTGGCCTTGCTGTCGCGCCGGAGCACGCTCATGTCGGCCTTCCACCTCCCGTGTGCTTTGATCTCCGGTCGCGCGCGGTGCTCCAGAGCGGCGTCGATGCTGGCGCTAGAGTACCTTACCTGATAAGGCGCTGCCTTGATGCCAAGCCGTTCGCGCGCTATGAGAAATCGCTTGAGATACGCCGCAAAGGTGCAATTGAATGTCGGGTCCCTCGGGTTGCCCTGCCTGAGCGCCGCCGCGAGAGTGCTCGTGCATGAGGCCCAGCGGCAGCTGAGGTCGATGCTCTCGTCGGTGGCATATGTCTCGGACGCACCCCCGCGCTCTCGTCAGATGGCGGAGCAGATCCACGAGGCAGAGAGTCCGCTTGCGGGAGCCAGCAGGTCTTCCTCCAGCAGCTTCAGCGGCTCCGAGGGTCGCTTGGGCGCCACCGGCATGAGCGGGGCGCAGAGGGCCACGCCCCAGAAACTGCCGCGGCACATCTCCCACGGAATAGCCGCCCAGATGCTCGAGGGCAGGGGGCGCCGAGGGCGAGGGGGGCAGCGGCGCAGCCACGCCTGCCGGGGTTCGTCGGCAGCGGGGAAGATGGAGGCCACCACGCCTCCCGAACTCTGGAACGAAGTGCTCCAGGCCCGCCGCCAACATCCCCCCCTTGCTAACGTTCTCCCCATTGCAGGGGAGATCCTGTAGGAGCCGCGCCACTGACGCATCCACCTCGGCAGCCTCTTCGAGCGGCTAGCCTTGGCCTTTGGTGCCCTACCTTCAGGCCGCGACCAACTCGCGGCGAAGGACCTCGGCGCGCCCGTGAACCGCCGCCGACCCCAAGGGGGAGAACCCCGGCCCAGCGAGACGCTTGGGCTCGACCGTGTGAAGCGCCCTCTTCGGCCGAGGCGGTGGAAAGCTCACCTTGTCCGAGCCGGTCGGACAAGGGCCTCCTCTGTGACCGAAGTGGCGTCGCTGTTCCAGCCCTCCTTCGCGTCGTCGCCCTCCGACGCGACCTCGAGGGGACCTGTCTCCTTCTCGTTGGAGGGGCGCTGCAGCCCCTCAGCCACCGCCGAGTACGGCACCAACTGCCGAGCCGGCGCTGGGGCCGTCGGCGTCTGGCAGGAGCTGCCCGAAAAAGGCCCCTGTCCGCGCCGGAGTCGGAGCTAGCGCGCTGGCAGCCGCAGGCGCCAGCCTCCGCGCCCGGTTTTTCCCCCTCGCCAGCGTGGCCCGCACCTGGCGGCCCGGCGTCCACGCCCAGCTTGGGAAAGGCGCCCAGTCTCGAACTTGGACCAAGCGCGGCCGCGCAGAACAGACGAGAGGGCACGTCGGCGGCGTTCCACTCCGAAGATATCCACCGCAAATGAGCTCGCAGTCCAAGGCAGAGATACCAAGCACTCATCTTTCGGATGCACATAAGGGCCCGAAATTATTGGGTGCGCCCCCGTTCGAAAATAGGGCACATCCCCATATTATCAATCGAGAAGAGCACTCGACAGTCGGCCAACTGATACTCGCTGACCAGCGCCTGAACACCCAAAACCAGGGCACGGGATTCCAGAGCACATGTATCCTTTCGCCATGAAGCCTCCAGGAGCGAGCCTGCCGGAAGTGCATGCCAGCATCCATCGCCTAGAACTTCATGGGGGGCCACGCTAAAGCCCGAGTCGGTCTCGCATTGATGCCCCTGCTGCTGTCCGTCGCAGAATTCTGAAAGTTTTGGGAGCCCTCGGGCCCGGCAGGTGTCCCAAGGCGAGGGATTCCGCCCAAGAGATGGTCCCGGCCCGAAGCCCCTGGAAACTTTCTGAACCGACCGCGCTCAAGGGCACGGCCCACTTCGGCCGCGCTTTCAGCGCCCCAGAAACTCACCGCCGCCCCAGGCCTCTCTTCCGACGCGTCTGTCGAGACGACCGCGGGGGCCCAGGGTTAGCTCAAGGGCGAGTCCATGAGGAAAAGCAGGGAGGCAGTGTCCCACGGAGGCGGGGCAGTGTCCCACAGAGGCGCCGGGTCGAGGTTGTGCTTGTTGATGAACCCGCAGATGCTCCTAGAGATGCTCATCATGCCGCAATCCAGCAGCGCGCGGAAGGTGGGGTGGCCCAGGAGAGCCTCCCAAATTCGACCATGTAGCTTCCGACAGCGCAGCGCGAAAGGACACCCTGACGAACCTTCGAGCCCGGCCGCGGAGAGACAGACGGGTGCCCCGCTGAGGTCCAGCTGAATACCCAAGGCCTTTGCGCGCGACTGGGTGGCCTCGCGCTCGCGCGCGCTCAGACCCACGTCCTCGAACACCGAAGCTGCGGCGCACAGGTCCCTCTCTGTCTCCGCAGGGTCTGGCTCTAGGACCCCAAAGCAATCCACAAATGCGCAGTGGCACTTGCCAGACCAAGACGGGGGCTCTCCAGGGCTGCCCGATGCGAGGGTGCAGATGCCAGGCCGACCGCGATCCTGAAGAATCGTGAACTGTGAAATTCGTAGCACCATCCGCATGCTTTGTTTCCCAGCCTGCCAGCAAGGCACAGGGCCGCGAGAACCCCATCGGCAGCGCGCCCCAACAGACGTCCACTGCAAGCCGCTCGCCGTCTACTGCATGACCAATCGCCCCTAGCTCCCCGGCGGTGACCCGCCCCAAACCGAAATGGCTAGCGAGACCGAGTGGAAGCCGAGAGCGATGGAAGGCGCCCTTCACGTCTGCAAGCCCAATGGAAAGCTGGAGGGACTGAGCGAGCTCGGGAGTGAGAGACTCGTGGCCCCGACGGGAGGCAACCTTAACCCTGGCCATTGCTTCGCGAGAGCAACGGTGGGCACCTGTGGGATCGGCGAACCTCCTATTGGCTATTCGGGCATGGATGCTGAGGCGGCTTCGGGTTTCCCCGTCTTCTTCGCGAACAACGCACCGACCCTCTCGCGAGCGGGCCCAGCAAGTAAAACCACTACCAGACCGATGCGATGGAGGGCACGGAGCAGCTGCAAAAACTCACGGTGGCCGAGGGCAAGCACAGGACCCCGGCGAAGGCTAATCGGCGGAACCAACTCTTGTCGCTTTAAAAATCAAGGCGCGAGCGCAGCATGCGCTCATAGTTTTGCCCAAGGCACTGGTTCGCGTGGCGCCCCGCAACCTTGCGCGCCACGGGCGCTCCTTCGAGACTGTCTGGGAGGCTCGCCTCCGCGGCGCCGGAGATGCTGGCTAGGTGATGTCCGCCGAGCTCGGTGTCATAGACGGCTCGGCCGTGAGTCACCAATCGCCCCCGGACTCGCGCGTGCACTCCAGCCTGCCCAGGGCGCGTCGCTGGCCCATGCCGCGGGCGATGACGATTTCTTGTCTTCACGGCAGCGTTGGCGCCTGCATTCGCCATCCTGATGCGCCCTCGCAGCCGGGTCGCCTGGCGGCCTTGCCCCTGCGGAAATTTCGGGGGCGGCTGCGGCGGGATCGGGGAGAGGGGCAGCATGGGGGCGCGACGAGCGCCATCGCCATAGCCAGCAGACGCGCAGTCTTGGCCATCAGCGGCGGCACGACCAGGCCCACCGCTGGCAGGGGGCACCGCCGCCCCTGCCCCGACCCGGAGGGAGCGAGCATCTGCTTGTCGCCGCCGTCGGCGCCGCCCTGGCCTGGCTGTCCCTGGCCACGGCCACCCCCCTTGCCCCCGCGACCTGGGCCTGCGCCTGGCCCGCGGCCGAGGTCGCGCTGACCCTGGCCAGGCCCGTCAGCGCCGCCAGCAGCCCCGTCGGCTCCGGCAGGGTGCACCGCGAGCACGCAGCCACAAATTCTCTATCTCGAGCTCCTCCTTGGCGCGGCGGCGGGCGCGGGCGCGCGCGTCTCGGGCGGCGCCGCCGAAGAGGCCGTTGCCGACGGGGCGAAGTGCTTCGCGCCTCTCAGTTGGCACGGACTGGGACCCCCGTCGCATGCGCCTCTATCGCCCGGCGCACGCGGCGACTCGCCGCCTCGACGTGCGCCAGGAGCGGGCCGTTCACCTGGTCGTAGGTCCCACTCAGGCGCAAGACGCCCGTCAGCAGCTTCGAGAGAGCGCGCCCACAGGGCCCGAGCAAAAGGGAGGGGGGGCTAGGCTCAAGCTGCCCCCCACCCCCTCCCTTGAGCCGCTCTTGTTGGAAGCACCCCCCTCGCCCCTTTGTTTTGGGGGGGGGGGGGGGGGGGGGGCTCCCCCCCCCGGAAGCTACCCCCCTCCCCCCTTTTCCAAAGGAGGAGGCGGATGCTTGAGCTACCCCCTCGCCCCTACCTTGGCGCCGCCCTGCTGGAAGCTGCCCCCCCCCCCCCCCCTCCCCCCCCTGTGCAAGGAGGGGGGAAGGGGGTGGGGGGTGGCTTGGAAGCCACCCCCCTCGGCCGCCCCGGAAGCTATCCCCCCCCCCCGCCCCCCTTTCCAAATGGAGGGGGCGCCCAAGCTCCCCCCCCCCCCCCCTCGGAGCCGCCCTGCTGGAAGCCCCCCCCTCCCCTTCTTTGTGCCAAAGGGGGTGGGGAGTGGGGTGCTTGGAAGCCCCCTCTCTTTGGCCCCCTTGAGACTCTCCTCGGCCGTCTGGGGGGCCTGCGTGGCCCTCGCTGGGCCCCTTCGAGCTCTTCCTGTAGCCATCTTGAGCCGAAGACCAGGGACCCCCCCGATGCTGCAAGCGCCCGAGGCATTGCTGAGGTGCTTCGATGCTCTTGGCCTCCCCGGGCGGCCTCCCGGCCTTCCCTCGAGCGCCCCAAGGGCCTCTCGGGGCCCCCGTGGCGCCCCTCGGGGGCTCGCAGCTGGGCCGCCGCGGGCGCGTCTCGAGGCAGTGCGGGGCCGCCCGGGCAGCCCCGGTGGCCTGCCTGCTCCAGCCCGGGCTCCTCGGAGGGCTCTGGGGCGCGCGGGGCCGCCCCGAGGCGGGGCGCGCGGGCTCGGGCGGGCCCGCGCGGCCGAGGCAGGCGTGGGGGAGCTGCAGCGTGGCCCTCGCTCGGGCGCGCGCGCGTCTTTCTCTCGGGGGAGGACGGAGCTCCTACCCTGACATGTCGACTAGCGAATCTGCCGTTTTCGGTTCGCGAGGGGGCGTCGCGGCCGTCGCGCGCGCGGGCCCGGGCCCGTCGGTTTCGGTCGTAGGCCGTTTTCGCTAGAAGGGCGGCATGCTAAATGGAGGTTTGTCCACAGCCGATTTTCGGCGAGGGCCGTGGGGGAGCTTCCTGGGGCATCCCCCCATCAGGCGCGCGCGGACTCGGAGCATGCACGAGGAGTGGGCGTCCGAGCCATGGCAAGTTAGGCGGCTTGCAGAAGCCTTAAAATACGGCCCTCGGCATGGTACGGTCGAGTTTGTTTAGCGCGTCGGCCCTGCCAAGTCAGGGGCATCGCGTGCCATGTCCTCTGCGCCCTTGGGGCAAGGAGTGCGTTCTCGGAAGAGTCTCGCGTCAGTGGCGAGCCCGCGGTGCAAGTGGGGGCGGGCAGGCCTTCTCAGGAGGCGGCGGGATTCCTCAGAAGCTCAAGCCTTCTCCAAAGCCACAGGCGGATTTTCAGAAGATGCGAGGGCTTCTGACAGGCCCCGCCGCCTTCTGAGAAGGCCTGCCCCCTCTGACTTCTTCCCTGGGCTCGCCGCCGATTGCGTGCTCTTCCTGGGCCCCTCTCCAATCAGAGTCGACTGTGCCCGGGGGCGAAGTACGCGGATTTGAATCCACGCTGGTTTCGAGAGCACGCGCTGCGCGA